AGTTACCTATTCTATTTATATCGATGAAAGAGGAGAAGGGAGGGGGGGGGCAAAAGTGATTCTAATTCGTTGAACGACGATTGTTTTATGTATCGTACCCACTTACCTACACTTTTCCGGCTGACAGACGTCGCGTCGGTTGTAGAAAAACAGAAAGGAACAATTACCATCATGGAATACCTGTAATTGCCTGTTCTTTGTTGTACACGTATGCCGATTCTCTCTATTATTACTGGATGACATTGTGCACGTGTACATACGATGTATATATATATATATATATATATGTACATGTAAGAAATCATTTTTTTTTAATATCTTGACACATAAAAAGGTTCCGTTTTTTTTTGATAGAAAGAAAAATAAGTTTTGTTTTACACGAACCAGACAACCAATCAGAAGGAAGCAGTAAATCAAATGTAACGTTACAAGGTGAAGACATTCTTATAAGTGAGCGTGAAAAAAACAAACGTTTTCAAGCAATACCTGGCCGACCATTTTTACTACGTCGAGGAACGGCATGCAACGCTACTACAGGTTCTTTTAAAAGACGAAGCCTTAAGTTAAGAAGAAATACCAAAGAAGGGAAAGAAATGGAAATTGATTCGTGTAAGTAATAAGTTGGAGCTTTTTTTACTTGCTTTTTTATAGGTTGCATAATTATTTAAATCTTAAATAATTTTTTTTCTTTAGATATTATAACTAATCTCTATTTATGTATTACAACAATTTTTGGGGCCAATAAAGTAGACTTTTTGTGGTGACACAATTTTAAGAAGGTACGATTTTTCAGGAAGTGGCATAAATATTAAAAATAATAATTATATTAGTAAAAACACTGAGAAATATAAATATCCAAAAAGCGTAGTTAGCATATACACTAGTAGGGTGTTCTAAAGTTATTAGTAAATTCTGTGGTAAGAGTAATACATCTGAAAAAAAACTATAAAAAAATATAGAAAATGTGTAAAGAATCATGTTCAAAAGTTTTGACCCTTGGTATAAGTGCATAATGTGAGCAACCGATGAAATACTACTACATAAAGGCCAAATTTAACCATCATGATAGCACTATACACTTGCATCTTATAAAAAGATGGACTAGTCATCGGCACGAATTTTCAGTTACTATTGTTTCATCAGTAATGCAGATACATAAGAACTTAATGAAACTTAAAAAAAAATTCGAGTTGAAGTTACAGAAAATATTCAATAGTGTTGCTTGAAAACCGTGTGTTATAATATTTTACGACAAATACAACTGCACATAAATTAACGAAAATAATAGTTGCTCTTCTATAACAGAATGTAGGCAAATTGTAACACAAAGACATTATTTTAAGAGAATGTTAATATTTATTTGAAGCCTATGCCTTGGTACGTAACATTTGTTATAAATCCAAGATGAATTTTATTATTATTCGTAATGAGCTTCGTATTCACTGTAATCAAAAACAATGCAACATGCATGGCAAGAAAAAGATAATGCTTGATAACAAGATCACATAGCTCGTTATGGGCTACAAACTTCGTTAATTATTCTTTGTAGTTTTAATGTATTTTTGATACTTAGTGTATAAACTTTCAGTGTCAAAAATTTTATTACACAGAAAGTGATTTCTTCTTACCTTACTTATTTATTTATTTTTTTTAGCTATTAAATAAAAGTTTTTTTTCTCTTTTAAACAAATTCTTAACACTGAAAATCGATACTTTTAGTATCAAAAATGTATTTAAACTACAAAAAACAATGAAAAAAGTTCGCAGCCCATAACAGGCTATGTAATCATTTTATCTTACATCACCTCCTTCTTGCTATGAAGATAGCGCAGTTTCAGATTACTGCATGTAGCAAATTGCAACATATTGACAGCTTTTTTTTTGTATACTTCGCTTACATTTATTCAATCTTAGTAACTACAACTTTCTAAAGGTCTCCCTCTAATATTTTGATCAAAATGACGGATTCAAAGAAAGAAACGGGGTTTTTGTAGCTTGATCTATTTTTTATATACAACATTAACATAAATCTGAGTTAAAGTTTGATAAAAGTTTATTAAATTATGTATCAAGATGGTTTTTAGTGAGCTGCTTAAAATTTGAACATGAAGCAGTTTATAATGAAAATTTCTAAAAATACTTATTATTTCCATAGCTATAAAGTTAATAATTTATGTTTGAATGGAAATTGAGCAATGTGTTTGAGTCAAGGTATAATAATTTCTGAAAGAGATAGTAAGTTTTCTTATGATAGGTGCATAGTCTTTTGGCCATCGGAAGCCCTTAAATCACTTTATGTTCACTAATGAAATAGTGTCATTAGTAGCCACAAACTGAGCTATCAGGCTTAAAGTTTGACTTTACCCTTGGAAAACAAAACTGACATTTGCATTTTTAGCAGTAGCTAAATGTCACGGTTCTGGTCCCGTATCTCTATAAATATAAGGCTACTCCACCAATGGGGTATAAGGAAAGGCCTCGCACTTGGCCACTGTATGTATCAAGGTGTAGAGCCAGGCTTTGCAGCCCCATAAATATGAGATCATTCCTTTTTCTTTACCAATTCCGATTATCTCTCTAAGAAAGGGAGTGGTTCACCTGTTTTAGTATTGAACTGACCGTGCAGTATTAAATACTAGAAATGTTTTTGCTTTCATCCAAAAAAATGAGCTACTGCGATTATTATAGTACAGATTCCCCACCCTATAACAATGAGATTTCTAACCACACCCTTATCCATAAGATACATCAACTATCTTATCTCTGCATTAAATGTTTACTTCCAATCCATTAAGTCTACTATAAAAAATAATGTCCAAATAGCTTAGCGTTATGGAGAGCACAACTGGCTTTAATTTACTCGTTATAATTCTTACAAGCTGTAACAATTTTAATTTTATGAACCAGTGGATAGCTAATGTCCATCATACTAAGAACAGTTCATTTAAGCCTCTCTTATGAACTATTTAGTATAAAGCCCCCTACACACTTTTTGCATTCATTAAAAAAGTACTGTCTGAGAATTTTACATATGGTATTGTATGGTAATTTATCTGCATTCCATAATAATTTTATTGCAGCAAAGTGTTTTCATTTTTGTATTTGCCAGTAAGTATCTTTCAAGGAATTAATTGCCTTTATGTAAACGCAATAGGCTCAACATCTCCAGTTAATAGAAATAGCTAACTATTTGAACACAAATTCATGAGCAGGCTGTTAAAAGCCCCATATATTATTTAAGATTTGTTTAACAGTCTCGTTAAAAAATTAATTTTTTGCTATCTGAGTGCTGTTTATACATTAATTTTTTCGTCAAGCTTCTTCTTCTTTATCATCATCGTCTTTAAATGAAAGTTTTGTATTTTTGACGTTACTACTCAAGTCACAACTGGCTTGCTTTTGTGACATATTAATCTTGACCCCAAGGTTGCTTGGGACTTAATAAAATTTAAAATCTGACGATAGTTTTATCTATAGTGCTGTCCCTCACTGTCATTACCTTAAAGATTAGACCCCCACCACATTTTACATAAGTCTTTTCACATCCCCACTCATTGGATTGTACTGAATAATACGATTATGTAGAACTAAGTAATGGGCTGTGTTGTTAGGAAAATTTCCATAAAATTTTAAGTCCAAATGAAAAAATACTGAAGTATTATTTTGCGATTGATTTTGCCTAAAGCAATCAATGGCAAAAGAATGTCTGTGAATTAGAAATTAAATTTTTCTTATAAAGTTGAACAATCAGATGTTTTTCGTTTATCAGTCTATGCTACTACTAGGGGAGAGAAGTAAGCTTATGTGACAACAGCACCTTGCCACCTTTCCTAAAACTGAGGTGAAAATTCAGCCATTTGTTGTGACGTTGCATTTGATACAGTACCTTCTTTCCCTATTGGAGCCAGAAAAAGTTGCGCAGGTCAGTCAACAATCTGTAGTGGTTATCAAAGGAGATAGGCTAATTTTCTCTATTATAAGGCTTGGAAAGATCTAGCAGAAAAGTGCCTAACAAAAAGAAAGCTGGTGCAAGATCAATAGCGTCAGTGGTGTTGACACTAAGTGAATAAAGAGTTTTAGAGTTAAGGCTGATCTTAACCTTAGCAGACAGCTAGCATAGATAGCTCTTCAAACGTTACTGACAGCTTGGTATAAATTGTGCATAAAACTGTGCACTACGGCTTCTCAGAGCCGCCTGAAATGCAGAGCCTGTAGTTGAGCTAATTAGCACTTCGTACCTCAGGCTGCTAGAGTTGGCGTTATGCTGTCAGATCAAACACTGTCATTTAATAACTTGTCAATAAATCAGAGACTACTTTAATTTGAATTGCTTTGGTGACAAAAAAAAACATGGCTTTAGAACCCTAAGTAGACTTAGCACGTCTGCCACAAAAAAAACTAGAACAGGGTCAGCATAGTCTAGACCAGTGATGTTAAAAGATTAAGTTAGAGTGATTAGCAGAGCAGGCAGAGAACCTATCAGATGTGTTGGAGTTCGCTCACGAAAGCAGATTCATTGCACTCATCATCTGAAGACTTCTGTGGTGACTGCATGTCTACATGTGATCTAAAATGATGTGTAGATATAAGACAGTATTATTTGCATATCTTTGGGCCATGTGTTGTGATGCACTTCCTGGATGACCCGCTTGACGATAGTGCGATCTCCAGGCAGCACGACTGTGAATCTTATCAAGCCAAAGATCCTGCATGATTACTTTGGCTACTACGATGGTGGGTGCCAACCAACCAAGATGGTCAAATATTCGAGTTATTTCAAACAAGATCGACTTTTGGTAGTGCAAGTCGCTTGAGTAACTGTTGTCGTGAATTTAAGAACATCGATTTTTAGAAGCCATAAAATACTAAGGGATGACTCTACCTCTTTTTAGTTGAATAAAACTTTACTCGCAGAAGAAAAATTGACACTTGCTAGCAGCTCTGCGAAATTCGCCACTCACTTTTCGAGGGCCATGCCAGTAAACCCCAGTAGATTGGTCAGTTGCTTGTGGCGGCATATTGCTTTCTTGGTAGTGTCTGCTTTACCGAAGAGATCGTCAACGTAACATGTGTACCAAAGTTTTGAAGCACCTTCTGGACAGTCAAGTAAGCCGCTGATTGTGAGCTGCTTGAAAAACTGAAGAGCCAAAATGAGGGCCGATGGAGTACCGTAGGTAGTAAACATAGGAAAGATAGATAACACTCACACTTGCCACAGTAAGTATTTTGAATCATTTCAGTCAACGGGCAAGTCCTGACTACGCTAGCCTCCCATCTTATAAGCAAAGTTGAACGGCACGTAATACCAACCACGACAGCCTTCTCAAACAATATTCAATCTTTTGTAAATACTTACTATCAGATAACACTATCCCTTGACTCTTTATAATTAACTATTAGTCTCCACTGCATCATTATCTGACTAAATTAGTCTTTCATAAATATGTAAAGAACTTTAGGATGGTAACAACCACTAGTCCTTATCTTAAATCAACATACGAATTTTGTCATTAATATCATCATGGGACAATACGTGTAGTCAATGCGTATGAATCTCATATGGCTCAATAGACTTATCAAATATGACAGTCTACTTAATACTTTAATTC